AATAAATTTTTACATTTTACTAATAAATATTAACTTAATTTTTAAAAAATTATGTACGATTTGATGATTTATGAAATTAAACATTAAAATTATTTATGTGTATACAGAACTTTTATTTTTAAAATATATTATACAATATTTTATTCAATAATATTATGTATAAATTATACACACAAATACAGTATTTATYGTTTTATCAAATTTTAAACATTATAATATCAACAACAAAAATTTTCTAAAATAATAGGGAAAATTGTGTCTATGTGATTCYTATGTTATTTTTTTCATAATATTTGTTATCTTTGTAACAATACATTGTAATAATAAAAAATAATCCATTAAACTAGAAATATAATTAAATTGTTATTAAATTTTACAAAATAGATAATTATATTACTTTATGTGTAGGGATTCCAGTTGTATAGTAGTATAAAGTATATAAATTCTATAATATAATATAATGTATCATTGATACATTATTACAATAGCTATAAATATAAGGATCCCATAGTATAATATTAAAGTAATGAGAAATCTCTACTAATTATTATAAAATAATGTTAAAGTGAATTATGAAATTTTTGTAAGTTAGTATTGAACTACATTTTGTGATATCTAATAAATGACTAATTTAAATAMAAAAAAACAATAGGTTTATTTAATTATAAATRTTATCATTCAATACTACTTGAGAGTTAACATTACTTAATAACATAAAATTTTATAGTATTGTTATTGATGTAAATGTTATGAATTATAGAACTTAAAAATAACATTAATTATATTGTAAGCATTATATAATAGTACAGTATTGCAGTACTACTGTACTGTATATGTAAGTACTGTATTACATATAGAAAACATAACTACAGTAATAACTATTTAACTATTTACTAAATATGTAATCTTTTAAATCAATTGTCAAACTTAAATAATAATATACAAAAAAAATGTTGGATCGATGCCTAAAAAATGTTTAATGTTTGCTAATTGAATACAATGTAGCACATTGTCTAACAACACTGTCACATAATTTTAGCATTTTGCAACTAATCTAGTTTTTTACCTTGATTTTTATTTACGATTTTTATTTAAAATAAAGTAATTTTTGTCTCAAAATATTTTAATATAATTATTATTTACTACATTTGATATTATTTGCTAAAATATACTAGTCAAAGTAAAAACTCTAGTGAAATGTTTAATTTTAAATATTTAATAAGATTATTGTTTAATTTACTATTGTTTATTACTAAACATTAGATTATGTACGAGGAATTATATAAAAAATTTAAAATATAATTATTAACAATTATTTATATTATAAATTGTAAGATTAATAAATAATTGTTAAATTGTTATAAACCTGGTTGTTATATTATATTATAATATASTGTATWAAATATATAAATATATTTAAAAATAATTTATATTGAAAAATATTTCACTTAAATAAGCAATAATTTAATTATCAAATAGACCTAAATTTTAAATTTTTGCAAATATTAGAAAATATTTTCTATAAGTTTATTACATTTCAAATAAATGCCGATTTTTATTTGTCTAAAATCCATATATAAGTGATAGCACTACCCATACATTATATACCTGATTACCTTATATACCAGTGATAACGACTGCAACAAATAAGCTACAAATGTACAACAAATTCATATTCAAATAAAATGATAATTTCAAAAATACAGCGATTTTTTAATATATTGTTTGACTAATAAACAATTGCCGTAAAACACAACTTACGTTTTACAATATACAGTATAAAATTGATACACTGTACTAAATAAATTTAGTGTTGCTAAGTTAACCATTAAAAGTGTTAGCCATTAATAATTGCATTTAAATATTTAATATAATAAAAGTTAATTAATAACTAAAATAAAGTTCATAAAAATTTTCTATATTATATAAAATATTTATATTAAAAAAAATTAAAATTTTAAAAATAATATCTTAATACAAATATCAAAATGATATTTATCTAAACATTTTATATAATAGTTTTAAATATTTTTAAAATTATTCATTTTAACATTGAAATTTAATTTTTAAGATTAGAATATTTAAAACAATTGTTTTAACTATTTTTATTTTAAAGAATTACTATTATATATATATTATTTTAAATAATTTAAGTAAAAAATGGAATAATTTAATGCATTAATATATCAATATATATACAAAATTATATTTAGAATAATAATATATAGTATTTTGTTGAAAGACTAATTTGTTAGCATTTAATTAACTGTATTATTGAATATATTTATTAAAGTGATGTATTTTTTGGGTAACTCATAAATATGTAAATTTAATACATATAATCCAATGAAGTAATTTATTATACCTTTTTTAATCAATTTGATTATATTGTATTTATTTGATAATCTACAGCAATATTACTTTACCAATTGAGTTATAAATTAAAATTTATTACTTATACATAAAAAATAATTAATAATAATAATTTATACATTTTTAT